ATTTGGGATGCACATTAGCCTATTAGGAATATATATAATATTGTGTTTAAATACTTGATAACTTTAGTCTCACTAGGATTTGATTCCCTTTTGGCCAAGATAAATACAACTTATCTAGGTCCATCACTTTTATATGTTTATTAGAAGGAAGAGACATGTGAGGCCGTTTAACAACAGGAATAATAGCTCAACAGACTTTGGATTTAACACTCTTAAGTATTATAATACTGAATCTAATTGAATTGTTCGTTGAATTGATCACTCACTCGTGACCTTRWACAACAACAACWCAAAAATATCCCAAATCCCYATGTTTTTTCKCAATCTAAAACAATCTAGCTTTAACTCGATTTCCTTAAACCATGTAGACTAAATATAAAATATTAATTTTCAGTTTCATAGATAAAGATACACAAAAACTCGCAGTCAAAACATTTCGATGATTTTCACTGATCGATGCTAACCATAACAGTCAACACAACCATCATGTTTAGCTGCCAAAAATAATATTAATCCTACTTCTTACCTAAAACTAGATTGGCTAARGACGAAGGAGGTATCATCATCTTCTCAAATCAAGGCGAAAACTACAGAAAATCGAGTGAAAAAGCGTGTAAAAACATATTTTTTTCGCACTCAAACAGAGACTAATTTTCGCGCGTTATGAGCACGCTAATGCGCATGTTTAAAAAGCGGACACAAGTATTGCGGGCTCAGCATGACACAGGARGCCCAAAAATATTTTGATGTTAAGTTTTGCTTGCTTAGAGTACAAACACTAAATGTGTGCAACACTCTCTACTATTTACTACAAAATAGTATTGATTAGACAATAGAAAACAATAGAATTAGCATAATTTAGCAGTAATTAGTGGTATCTATGTTGCACAATTTTAGTGCTTGCACTCTAGTTTATTTCTTTCAATAGTTTTAAATTTAGTCAGTTAGTTCCTAGTTTTTCGGCTGGCCTATATTACGTTCTGGATCATTTATCCAAGGTTTCCGGCATTAGCAAGGCAAAAGTTGACACAAGTGCACGTGATTATAGATGCGGAACAACTGTGAGGTGTGCAGTTGTGACCAAACTCGTACTAAGACTGGTGCGTTTCCGCAGAATTTTTTTCAATTACTTCCAGGACGTAGAATAAGGCAAAAGGCTGCAAAAATGCCTCAAGACTATCGATGCTCAGACTATTTAAAGTACATAGGAAAAGAAGAAAGAAAATGTTGCATTTTCTCTCTCCATCCCATGAATCTCCGTCCCATGAAGCAATTTGCAGAATACGCGCGTCGCGAGAAATAACCGAGTGACAACGCGTCTGTAACGTGAAAAATTTTATCAAAATGTCATTGTTATTAGTTAAAAAGTGAACGATATTTGACATAGATTCGATTACCATCTTTCGTGACAGCCGACAATACAAAAGGGTCAAAATATCATCGCATTCTATAAGTTACATATATCAAGTGTCCCAGACATGGACGTCGCAAAATACAACCTATGTCGCAAAATCTAGCACCATCTATAATTCTATTCTATCTATTTCACGCCATTTTAAACTCCATATTCCATTTGTTCAAATAATGCATGCAGTCACGTCCGCAAATAAACGTAAATAACAAGAAGCTAGATTTAACGTATATAGTACGCGAAAACGATCCTCGTATTTTTATCAAAAATGTCAAGATATTGTCATCGTTTTCAATTGTTTTATGTTAAATGATAAGCCTGAACATAAAAAATATGTAGTTTCGAAAATATCCAGTCAATTTCTATATGTGCCCAAGCTCGCAATTGCCATTTGATTAAATTRAATTTAAGATGAATTCGAAATTGCAGTATGATCTTATTTTTTTTCATTGTAGTATTTTTGGCCTGATCGCGAGCTTGACACGTTCTTGCTAGGACGGGTTAAAGGTGTTAAAACTTGTCTTTGCCTGGAGTTTTAAATCGTCTCAGTGTCTGCTATTAATACAAGCAGGTGAGTGACTTGAAACAACARATCTGCGGAATATCAAAAAATAAATGAATGGATGAACGAATGGTTGGATGAAACTAGGAAAGAATGCACGAACGAACGAATAGATGGATGGATGGTTGGTTGGGTGAGATTGGAAAGAACGAACGAACACGCACACGCACGCACGCACGCACGCACGCACGCACGCACGCACGCACGCACGAACAAACAGATGGATGGATAGATGCATACACCATTAAAAAACTGCATGGCCTTTTATATAATTCAAATCCCAGCAGCCCGATCGTCGCCAGAGGATCTTACCCGAAATAGTCTAAAAATACACGGCGTTTCCTAATCTCCCGGCAGCTTATTACCGCTAATGACCATGGTCTTAATTGGACTACCCGTCGACCAACACACTCCATCGGAACTAAATTGATCCCCCTGAGGCTATTGTTGCATCAACCAAACCAAAACTTTCCGGTGTAAAATTGTTCTATAATTGTTTGTTGTTGTTCATATCCACTTCTTTCTGCAGGACAATTACGCTTAATTGCAAACGTGGCAACTACTTCGTGGGTTAAATGACATGCTGTTAGAAGTTCGTGTATATTAAATAAACTTTTTACGACTTCTTGGGCAGGAACTTTCCGCCTCTGCACCACCGCCATCTTCAGAGGTAGGGAYACACCACGCAAGYACAGAACAAACCAGACCAACACAATTGAACTTGACAATTAGTGAGATGTCAATAAAGTTGTTCTATATTTAGGAATTTRGACTTGTCGGGCAAGGCAGGTGAAATCAAACAGCAAACCYAGGATTTCTTCTGTAGGGTGTATCCGCGTGATATACGATAAAATGTGTAGGGATTGTGTTGTCAGTAGTTCTCGCACTCACCCCTAAAAGCCGCTTCTATATTGCGCTTTGTAGAAATGACACAACTATATTTACTTTTGGAAAGAAAAGGCACAAAACGGCTAAGGAAGACTGTTTCAGTAGACATGAAAGATGCGAAGAGTACAACTTTCGTCACAAATAGCGTCTCTGTACATTGCTTATTTCTTGGGTCAATTTCTCTCATCTTAACTAAAATAGCTTGTAAATATTGATGACATTTCTAATATAAGAGACCGCGAGGGTTGATGGGATATAAGGTTATCATTTCTGCAGTAAATAAAAATTCCATTGTAAATTCAATTTTTCCATTGACACATAGTACAAAATTTCAGGTAAKTGATTTTCTAYTCTTATTGAAGATGCGCGACTAGAACAAACTAGAAATCGGTATTTCTGAGAGACCTGAGAGTTCATATTTCAAAATTAATTTCCGTCCCTACTTTTTTGCCACCCCCGCGAAAAACCAATAGTGGTCAGCGGATATATGCATAATTGAAGTGACTATAATACTTTATAGCTCCCCAATCCTCCTACGCCTCGAAAAAAATAATGAATAAATAAAAAATAGACATAGAAAATAAAAGCCAAAAGTAAAATGTAAGAAAGACCTGATAGACGAAGAAAAATATGAATGTATTGGAATTTGAAACATGAAAACAGAAAAGAGAAAATTGACTAGTGCGCGCCAAAAATTAAAATGAACCGGAATCAAATGTTACGCATCAAAATCAAACAGCAAAAAAAAATATTTAAGAATTAAAAAGGTCGGAAAAAGGTTAAGATAGAACTGAATAGAAATTGTTTWAAGTCGCGCGCGTAAAAAAATGAAAATCCAAAACAAAAATATAAAGAAAATGTGTCACATTTGACGCCAGGAAATTCTCTTAAAAAATCTTCAATCTAGAGAATGCAGTTTTCTCGAAAACACTTCAAATGATAAGCRTTCAACTTCCTTTTCACTGAAAATTCTAGTATAATCGAATTTGTTTTGAAGCAAAAATTGTTATTTTTCGACCTTAACACATAAACAAGCCTTTGGGACTTTTTTTATGATCACTTTAAAGGTCTAGTTATATACTGAACGCAGGTAAATCAATCCCACTGGCCTGTGGCTAACACAATGTCTTAATCTTCTCAAATAAAAGAGGGGAGGATACATTTTCTTGATTGTTGATTAATCTAGTCTACTAAATTTCAGAGAGTTTCCGACCTGATAATAATGTTTAAGTTTCAGTGCGTAGTAATGGCGTCATTGTTATCTANTCATTAGATATTTGAGGAGTTCTTTATGTGCTTTTATTTATCCAGTTATACTCATTCATTCGTTTCTCATTCACTTATCATTTTGAGGAGTTCTTTATGTGCTTTTATTTATCCAGTTATACTCATTCATTCGTTTCTCATTCACTTATCATTTTGAGGAGTTCTTTATGTGCTTTTATTTATCCAGTTATACTCATTCATTCGTTTCTCATTCACTTATCATTTTGAGGAGTTCTTTATGTGCTTTTATTTATCCAGTTATACTCATTCATTCGTTTCTCATTCACTTATCATTTTGAGGAGTTCTTTATGTGCTTTTATTTATCCAGTTATACTCATTCATTCGTTTCTCATTCACTTATCATTTTGAGGAGTTCTTTATGTGCTTTTATTTATCCAGTTATACTCATTCATTCGTTTCTCATTCACTTATCATTTTGAGGAGTTCTTTATGTGCTTTTATTTATCCAGTTATACTCATTCATTCGTTTCTCATTCACTTATCATTTTGAGGAGTTCTTTATGTGCTTTTATTTATCCAGTTATACTCATTCATTCGTTTCTCATTCACTTATCATTTTGAGGAGTTCTTTATGTGCTTTTATTTATCCAGTTATACTCATTCATTCGTTTCTCATTCACTTATCATTTTGAGGAGTTCTTTATGTGCTTTTATTTATCCAGTTAACTCATTCATTCTTTTTTCATTCACTTATTCGCTCACTCGATATACCTCGTCTTTCTTTTGTGAATTTATTTAATTAAGAAATTATCAAATTATCGCTTTACATGACCTCATATACATCCAGATACAGCAATATGCAGAAATTATGATCTTTCTTTTTGCTTAATAATAATAAAATAATGATAATTTAATGAGCATTACACATTGTCTCAATGCTTTACAAAATAAATATATGAAGAAATTACAATAAAAGTCATGGTATAATGTATATGTATAAAAAGATTGTTATAAACTAAGTTATGCTATGTGCCAATAATTTTCTAACTTATGGTTCAAGTATATAAAATACATTCAGGAATTCTAGGATATCATCACCAATATGTTTAAGTACTAGTGCTAGGCAAATTTAAAAAAAAATATTAGCGATAATAACCCATAATTTCTGATAAATTTTATATATAGTTGGAATATGAGTCAAAAAGATCATAATTTCTGCATATTGCTGTATACAAAAATCAAATAAATCAATTGTTCTAAATCAATCTTAATACATAGCAAATTAAACTTAATTTTTGATTCTTCTTTTCGTAGTGATATCACTTGTCTTGGTTATTTGACTGGATGATAATAATTAATACTTAGCTAATAATAATAAAAAACGCTTTTATTGCAGTAACTTTCAGATACTGTTTTTTTATTGATTTGGTTCAATCTTTTATACAGTTCACCAAAAAAGATTATTACTGATTGGATT